CCCCATCTGGAACCCTGTTGCCTCATGTACAGCAGTTGCCAGCCTACAGATAATACAAAACACTGCATTGAGACTAGCCACTGGCTGCCTCAAAATGGCCCCAATCTCCCATCTTCACCAGGAGACTGGCGTCCTCCCATTAGCCGCGCATCTGGACATGGCTTGTGCCCAGTTCCTCGTCAGTGCCCTCCAGCCCTCCCATACCTCATTTCGTATCGTTTCTGCCCCCTGGGGGACCAACCCATGAAAGCCTCCATCCAGTTGAGGTTCGGTCACCTGGTCACACCATTCTTGGGTAATGGCACGATGCCTGCTGGTGCCTACAGAGAGGCCAAGCGGTCTCTCTACAGGGAGATCGCCTCCCGCGTTGCGGCGACTGACGCCATAAACGCTGTACTTGCAGCCCCGTCACCGCCTATTGCATCAGTGAAGGCCTCACTCCCTCGCCCCTACTGCTCGGCGCTATCCCAGCTCTGCTCGGGATACTGCAGCTCCCTGGCATCCTATTCTGCCAGGATCGGATGCTCCCCTAGCTCCGCTTGCCCGGAGTGCAGGGATCCTCTCCAGTCCGTCCTGCATCTCTTCGTCTGCCCCGCCTTCCCCACGTCTCTCAGCGTCTCCTCACTGTGGGACAACCCAGTGGAGGCTGTGACTTTCGTGGCCACCCTCCCTGCCTTTGCCCATCTTCCCCTCTTCCGGTGGCGGGCCCCCACCCACCTCCAGAACCTCCCCCTGGCAAGCATGATGGTCGCAACAAACAACAACTGCAAGCTTCATATCTGCAGCCATATAGCATTTCTTATGTATCTGTAAGCTTACAGCAATGGGCTTGTAATTTTGCACCAATTTAATTGGGTCAAGTGAATTCACTATAACAAAAAATATTGTAAAAAACATAACTGCAAAAGAAATGAATATTTTAGTGGCAACCATCATATTTTTTGGAGAAAGAAATTGTAGTTTAGGTTAATTACTTTTTATTCTACATTACCCAGTGCACAATTCTATCCACAACATTTTATGCACCATTTTGTGATGAATGATAATGCGTTTATTTTTTATCGAGTGAATTTTTTTGCTGAGTGAGATAAATGCAATCAAAATTCTTTGTTGTGAATCAAATTTTTCATCAACTGGAGCCTTTGCTAATGTAAATGCATTTTTATGGGTGTTCCATGCTACCCCAGGGGGTGTCCCTTATTACCCTGTCATGCAGAAATGGGTGAAATGGCCACCATTTTGCTTTGGATTGAAGTATGAAAATTCCTTTAATAAAGTTTTAATGTGGACACCTGTCTGCAACTTTTTTCTAAGCAAAATTTTTTAATACAGCAAATATTTTTTAATTACACGCCTTAGCAGGAGTACTTTTTAAAAATATCACTACTAAACATTTGTTCAGGGAGTTTTTTAGAGATAATAAAGTAAAAGTATTATTTCTTAACTTCCTTTATGCTACATTGATGGAAAAAATTTGAAGTTCACGCTACTATTTTTATTTTTGCATTTCCAGCATTATTACTTATACCCTTATAATTTACTGTCCTGTAATTTTACCCCATACTCATCATTCGATAAAAAGTTTTTTATTCATTGTAGGGTCATTGGCAACTTCTCAACAAAATATGTAACAGGATTAATTCACCAACAGCTCGAGACGTTATACTAAGCAACAATATTTCCCTAATTCAGAATATTAGTGTGGCACATGATTACAACATTCTAAGTAATTTATTATAATTTATTTTCTTATGAATCTGCAGTTTCGACTTTTTTTCTGATGGATTTTTAGGTTGTGGTGAAAGACTGTCAAGATTTACCCCCACCCGTCCCTTTTTACCCCATTTGATTGTACTCTATTACTGATGGCTTGTTCTAATCAGTCTTATTACAGAAAAATAATACTGTAACTTGAATTGGAATTAGGACCAAAGGATATTTAGCAAATAAATAAAGTAAAAAACAGAGAAACAGTTGAAATGAAATAAATCATAGGTAGGTGTGCAAATTATCAACAATGTATGTAAAATGTAATGGCTTGTCTGGAGGTGAGGAATGGATTAGTAAACATCAGGCAAACATGCCATCTAATTAAAGATTGTTTACCAGGATATTGTGTGAACCACAAGATAATAAATTTAGAGATGAATTAGAGAAATTGACAAATGTAAACTATGCTTGGAGCAATATTAATTTATTGTAAGGCCTGTCTAAGGTGCAGTTGAAAAAAGCACATAGACCCATGGTGAACATTGAATGCAATTATTTTTCAATAAATAAATTAAACCATAGCTGAACAAATACTCATCATAGTGGAGCATTGATATCTGGATTAAAGTGCAACCCATCAATAACAATAATATTGCAACTATTCACCTATCTTTGAAATAGACTGAGCAAGAATCCCCAGTACAACTAAGTCTTGCTTAGCTAAACTTCATTCAATGGTGTTGCCTTCTTTTATATTACGCATCAATCACACACAGCATTTAATTAATAGTGATACTGCCAAAAAATGTAACATCACATAAAACAGTTGGCAAATAAATGCACTATAGACATTTATCCACAATTAATTATTATGAGGGAATAACCTGGAGGCAGGAAAGTTGCTCTGTAACCCCTCAGTAAGAACATGAAAGAAAAAGTTAGTGGGACAATCCTGGGCTAGTAAGGGATTAAATGAACATAACCCAAAAAACTGCATTTACTGTCTATGCAGAAGAAGATAAGCTTGGATAAATGATAAAATGATCAAAAAATAACTGAAATGTTTCAATACGGATTTGCACTTGCACCCAGACACAAATTGGCTCAATCTCTGACTCAGATTATATTAAAATTGGTCAAAACTTGGCCCTCAACTTCCATGGATTTACATAAAACTGGCCCAAATCAGCCAGAGATGGTCTAATTTGCCTGGTATGGGCCCAAAGTTTGCAACACAATTTTCAGTAACATTATCCTAGTCAAATAATCCTATACTCAATATATATTAACTATACATCAACTTATAAGATACTCAGCAGTAATCTTTGCAACATGATAATATTTAAACTACTTCATTGAATAAAACAGATACATGGCAAGATTGTTCCTCTTGTGAATTGCCTATGAAAAGAAGCTATGTGAATTGTTTTAAAATGAAGGTCAGCAAGATTGTTGAAACACTTGGCAAGATTAATAAAATCAGCTTGGGCAAGTAGCCAGACAAAATGTTGTAGTAGGAAGGTGTAAACACTAGAATTAACTGCTTTCCACGAAACAAGAGTTCTTAAAGGTAGTTTGGCACAAATGTGTTTAAAATTTCAAAGGTAAGTCACAGCATGGACAAACGCTGCTACTAGTTAAAAGGGATTATTGTTTCTCATTGGGGAGAGAGATTTTAAATCCCATCTCCTATAATGGGGATGATAATACATCTTAAATTTAGTTCTTTCTATAGCAGCTCTTATTCCCAGCTTTGCTTGTATGCTCCTTTTATGCAACTAACTAACTTACCCTTTACATTTATGATCTCCATATTCATCCACTTAACAACATTATTACAATATACCCTTGCAATTTACTGTGCCATACTTTTATTCAATAGTCACCCTTCAACACAATTAGTACTGACCATCATGCATAGTAGGCTTGGTGCCATCTAGTTGACCAGGTAGATAAAATGGTAATTTCACCATCAGCAGGTGACTTGATACTGAGCAACAATGTGGTTATTCTTCCATTTCTCTTGTGTTTTAAAATCTCATTACAATGCTGGTATTAATTAGAAAAAAACACAATACATGCAAAATTTTGTGCCACTTCCCTAATCCTGCAAGTCTAGCAGCAAGAATCAACAAAAGCTTTCCTTTATGATGAGTTCAGACGGAAGGCAAAATATTCAAGACATAGAATACTACATGATAATTCATGACAGTGTAAGTTCCCATGGTGCTTGCTTAATGTTAGTACAAGTGATGGGTAGAGCTAATAAAAGCTAGTATAATGCAAGCCTCAAATTAAAACTAATTGTCATTTTTCCCTCCATAAATTTTGAATTATTTGACTTGTTAATTTGTACCAAACCCGAGGCTTCTACCACTATGTACATACATGCAGGAAGTTTGCAAGGTTTTAAACCAGTAGCAACCAAAGTCCCATGAAACAATTATTAGTTTTGAAGGATCTTTAGTCTCAATATTTCAGGACCATTTGATATGCTTCACAGGGCTAAAATGAAACTAATAAGAACTAGAATGATAGAGAACATGGATATAAAATAGTTAGTTACATTTTAAATACATTCATAATAACAGGCAGCTGAATATTTCCTGTAATTCTCAAATATTCATGGCAAGCTATGGCATGCCATCAACATATATTGCCATAGCCCATAAGTATTTACTGTTGCTCCCTGTGGTAGGGTTTCTTTTAGACTTTAGCTCATGAAAGTTTTTTCTGATTATAACTATATTATTATCCATCCATATTCATATTGATGAAAAGAAGTACCTACTTCAATCTCCCACTGCTTTTTTTAATTAACCATGAATTATCCAGGCCATTTATATTTTTCTTCCTTTTCTCAAGAGTGGATTCTGAGCCCTGCATTTCAGTCCTGAGTGCTGGATGGCAATGATTGCATTAATAGTGGCTTTTTAGGGTATGTGGTGCAGTATTGGACAAGCTAACTTTGCTGAAGTGTTGCATGCTAGCTTGGCTACTTTGCAAAGGTAGTGTTTGCTACTTGAACTAATTTTTCAAGTTGTGTTGCTTAATATTAGCAGCTACATTACCGGGTATCTAGCAAATTAAGGCCTGTTACCTATGCTAATAATATTCATTAAATTTAATTAGATTTTCAGTGTTTGAAAAAATAAAAAAAAATTATTTTGTTGTAGAAATTCAAACTTTGCAAAAATCTTTTCAAGAATGCTATTTAAATTTTAGTTTTTTCTTCTATTCTAATTTTTTTATGTGTACAAAATTTGTCACTATCAAATTTTATTGTGCAGGTATAACTGCCAGCAGAAATGGCAGCTTGCTCACAGAACATCACACTTGTGCCTGGGATTGAGCTTTCTCCTCAGGAAGCCAACAGATACAAGAACATTTTTGCCGTCCAAGTTCCCATGTGTGAAGTTTTTCGAGCCGTTCTAAAGTGGGAATGCAGCGACAAGCAACTTGGTCAAACTTGTGCAGATTATTTTGGTCAAAAGAAGCAGCAATATGAAGACCGCCATGCTGCCCTGGTGGCAGAGAAGAACAATAAATTTAAATTACCAAAAATTGTACTACCTACACGTACAATTGAAATGCTACAGGAAGAACCATCAAAGTATGACGTTACTCTTATGTTTTCTTTTTTGTGTGAGATATTCAAATCAAAAGTATCATACACACACATTGGTCATGTGAGAAGTCTCAGTCAACTAGAGTGCCTCTTGAAGGAGGCCAAAAACATCAGAAATGCTGTTATGCATGAAGTCGCTGACGGTGCTGTCAACCCCATGAAGTTTGATGAAATTGTCAAAGCCATGCATGATGTGATAGATGAAGCTGGCAACGTGTACAGCATCCCTGCTGATGAAGTAACGAGTTTCAAAAGCCAGGTAGATGGGATGTGGGATGAAGTGCGCACAGATAGTGAAAAAGCTAAGGCTTATTGTCGCTTCTTCCTGCAAACTTATGGAAACAAAGAAGCCAAAGTCATGTGGGAAGCAATGTTGTCTGAAGAAACTCTGCTCTTTGGCGATGACAATGTTGAATGCTCAAAAGTTTTCCATTCCCTGGAATTGACACTACAGAAACCTAAAGATCAACTCGAGTGCAAGATCTCCTACACTGAACTGCTAACTGGCAACGATAAGTTCATTGTAGTCATTGGCGACTCCGGGTCTGGAAAATCCACTTTGGCCAAGAACTTGGTGATACAGCACCACGGTATCTCAGATGCAGAGGTAGAAATGTTCAATCTGAAGAATCACAATTTGTTGCTTTATTATGAATGCAGGAATGTTTCTACAAAAGAATTTACTGATGTGGTAGAAGAAAACTTTAAGAAAGTGTGCCAGAAACTCGGCCCTAAAACTGTCATCCAAGGAATCACCGAGTCTAACCCTTTGATTCTCATTGATGGCTATGATGAATGTCATAAAGACTCGTACAAGGTTGTGCAACAGATGGTGAACAAAATGAGGAACCATGAGTGTCGTGTGATCATCACTACCAGGCCAAGTGCTGCTGACAGGCTCAAGGACTTTCTGAAGCGAGAAGGTGTGAAGTTCCAAGAGAATGAGATAGCAGAAATTTGTGATTTAGATGACCAACTAATATTTCTGGAGAAGTATGAAAAACATGTCACTCCACATGCTGAGAAAGTTGTGAAGAGCTTCAGTTCTCTTGGACCGAACATTCAAGAACTTTTTGTTCGTCCCATTAATTTGGTTCTTTTTTGTCACATGGTCTGGAACTTTCCTGAAAAGATAAATGATTGGAAATCTCATGCTGCTGTAGCTCAAGTCACATATGATTTATATAGGAAGATTATTAAGACAAAGCTGGCTTCCTGCGTTGTTGACATGGATGGCCTTATCGATTATTTCTTCCAAGACTTAGGCGATTTCTCCTTGAAGATGATTTGTGAAGGCCATTTGGTTTTCTCTCCAAAGCAAGTTGCCGATCTGATAAGCAGAATAAGATTGAAACTTGAGAAATATGGTGCACTTGAGATGCTTGATCCTAATGCACTTCTGGGTGTTGTCTTGAAAATAAAACGTCCAATGAAAAGTTTTGAATCGTGCACATATTTCTTCCATCACAAGAGCATACAAGAACTGTTTGCTTCCAAGGCTGTCTTAATGGAGCTCCGTAAGAATAATGCCTTGCCGCCCATCCTGACGTCACAAAAATTTAATATTTTCAAGTGAGTTTTCTGCTGAGAAAGATCTAATTGAGTTTCTTAAGACTTTTGCAAGAGGGAACTCATGCGATTGTCGTTCGAGAATCGTATTTTTCTCAGACCTGATACCACACACGTTTCACAGGGCTAAATTTTTTAACAAAATATTTGTATAGAGAGACCTAGATAATTTAGATCTCACTACATTAATTTGAACTAATTAAAAAGCGCCTCACTGTACACATTATGTTCCTCTGCTGTTTACAATGCACGAAAAATAAATTTTCACAATTATGAAATTATTTTAACAATCACAGTAGCTGCACTTACACACAATGTTTTTATATAAAGTTCAAAATGATTCCAGGTAAATATTAGCATGAATAGGAAGATTAAGAATGTTCATGTGATTTGGATGTTTATAACCAATAGCAATGATGATATACTAATCCAAGTTACAATTAGTCCCCTAGGAGTGCTCACGTATGTGTTCATGGAGCTGAGTGCTGCTGAGGAGTCCACTGTCTTCTGGAATAACTGGCCGCTCCTGCGTGATGCTGTTGGAGGCGTTGCCATGCATTACTGGGAGCAAATCTTGCTGAACTGTCGTGACTCGCAACATATTGCTGAAGCGATTGCTGAAGTCTTCTTGGCAAACAGCGACAATTGGAGCATTGAAACAGGTAATATTTATATCTGGTGTCTTAATTATTTGAGAGATTCTACATCTGGCACTGTACCATCAACCCAAGAAACTTTGTATGCAATGAAATTGTTTATAGTTGTTTCTTGATGGTTGTTTACGGGCTTTGTTGTCATTCAGAGGGACATAAAAGTCTCATTCATAATAAAACCTGATATATTGATGAACTTTTACTTTCCCTCAATATATGCGCCCATTTATCTGCGGATCTGCCTTTACTGCTGAATTCACACACTTCCTAGAGCCTATTTGGTTAACACAAATTTTTCTTCTATATGTCCAAGATAAACAGGAAGATGTAAACAGAAATGAAGGTTGTCTAGGATTAATCAACAGAAAATAGAATATAAATCTTGAAATAATTATAAGACAATTTAATGATATTTTACTTATTTATGTACTCAAGTGTAGCTTCCTGGACCACAGCAGAGAGTGTGGGCATCACTCTGTTTGCTTATTATTTCTAAAGCTTTATGACTATGAAATTGAAAACAAAGATGAATGTGTAAATTCCAAGTATTGATTCTTTTTATTGCTCACAGCTCGAGGAGACAGCAGGCTTGAAACTGAAGAACATTTCAGTAAAGCGCTTTCCAATTATATTGTGCTAGCATGTATAATTTGATCCAATTATTGCCATCGTTTTTAATCAGCACTAATTCTTTGACTCTTATGTCGTCATGTATAGAAATGTGTAGAAACATGAATTTGCAAAACCAATTAATGACAGTAATTAAATATGAGATGTATTTACTCCTACAGATTTTCAAAAATAATTCATATTGGAGGAGTTAATGGCAGTTGAAAAATCTTTAACACTACACTAAAAAATGTTATATAATTTAAATTCAAGCATTTAAATATGTACATTAACTATCTTAATTGAATTTCAATTTCATTGAGATACTTTAATTCATGGAACAGATATTGCTACTCCCTTCTATTTAAATAAATACTGAAAGAGTGTCAATTTCATTGTCTGAGTCATATTTGAATGGTGATTTTAATTTTTGGGCAAGGTAGGGGGTAATGCTATGTATGGAATGAGGATCAGATGATCAATGAATGGCAGAAGCATGACAATGTTGCCTCTACTCAAACCGGAGGCTGGTGGGTCTTTTAGGGAGGCAATTTGATGTGATCACATATAGTCAGATGGGGTAAGACAGGACCGAAATCACTAACAAGCCTGTAGCATCAATACCAAGAATAACTAAAAACCCTAAACCTATCACAAGGTGTATATATGCAATGGGCTTCTAAGCTACAACTCAGACGTTTTGCATCTAACATACCTAGTTTTCTGTACAGATTAAAAAAAGTGAGCTGGTCCCATCTTACCCCATTGGGGTAAGATGGGACCAGGCATGGGGTAAGACAGGACCAACTGGTAATTCTTATGTTACAAGATTTTTAATAAAAGTGCAAACATGATATTCAATATTATCCATCTAGAAACACATTATTTGATTAAACAACCACTTGTTACTGTTTTGTGCTGCAGGAAATCAACTCTAATATCAGTCAGATTGGAGTTTTTGTCACAAGAAAACTTCGTTAAGCATAGTAATAGTAGGTTGGCTTTGATTCATTGTAGAGCACTGCTAAATGCTACATGTATATTCCATTAGTGTCATTGTCTGAAAATTTAATAGGGTTAACTATTTTGTGACCCTTCTTTACATAGATTTTCTTTAAAAATTAACCAAAAATTCATTATTTGCAGAACAGGGTTGAAACAAACATTGAAATGACTGGCAATGATTGCTCTAACATATTATTTCATCAAATTAAATTCAGTGCAGTTAGAATGCACGCCATGGGCCGGTCCTTTCTTACCCCATGAAGGCTGTGATCCTGTCTTACCCCATTTGACTATACCTAGAGGAACTTGCCCGCTAGGGGGGTTAACTGCTACATAACTTGTGCTCCATCTATTTTTACTCTTCAAGCATGCGTAAACTTTGCAGAGTTTTGTAATTGCGATGTCTGAAGAAGAAAAAAATGTCATAATCTTCACGAAATGCGTTATTTTCATACAATTTGCAAAAATTCGATGAATGATGATGATTGGATTTTATTATAATAATCGTCTATTTTTATTTTCCAGATCATCAGGTGCTTACATACACAGGCCGCAATGTTGATGCCATTGCGCTGCTGCTGCCCTACAAGCAGCCTGCCTTGCTCAGCGTCAGTCTCCTGGACGATCCAGCGCCCGAGTCCTGGCGCGAGGTGGCTAGGACATTCAAAGGAATTCTTGAGCTGCGGCTGCTCAAGTTCCTAGATCCTTGCCCTCCGTCTCCGTGTGACCACATGCTTGGAGCCTTGAACTCCTCGAGGTACGATGAGCAGGGAGGATTATTTATTATATATATTTATAACTACTATGTTTGTATATTTAAAGCTCTGAACATGTAACCCTCCTGAGCCCTGAGGTATCATGCTTATATATTATATTGTTGTGCAGCTGCTCGTTGTCATTGTTTGCTGGCTGTATCAAGGATACGAAGAGCATCCAATCCTTGGCCGAAGTCGCGACGCCCAACTCAGACTTCTTGATTGTCACGGAGCTGCACGTTGACTTGACGCCCCTGCAGCACAAGCACCAGAAGCTTTGTGAGTAGCAAGATCAATTAAATAATTTACACCTTACTTATGCTCTCTAAATACCTTCTTTCAAGTGTTAGTGAGATGACCTCAACAGTATTCACTTCATAGAGTTTTAAATTTTAGGCCCACGTATGTGTAGAGTCAGAGATTCAATTTGGTGCCTCAAATCAATTGTTTCCAAATAAAACTGGCTTCAACTTCTGTCTGTTAATAATTTAAAAACTCATTTTGGGCGATGTAAGGGTTTAAAAAAATTTCAATATCATGAAAATCAAACCACCAATACCTTAGGTTGCCTTTGATTTAGTCTAGACTCAGTCTTAGGAAGAAACTGTACAGTAAACTTGTGAAGTATAATTAATATAATTGAATTCCACAAAATTACTATGGAAATTATTACCAAGAATTAGAAAAAGAGATTAAGCACCAATTCAATAATACCTCAACTAGAAAATATTGGTAAAAAATAAATAGCGCAAATCCGTTCAACCTATTTGTATGTTTTGATATTTTCAACAATTATCATGAAGATCCTCTTATTCAAATCGAATGTAAATAAAAACATCATCCTAGCCTCACAATTTCTCTGTATATGTGTTTGATATTTAGATTTTTGAAAGAGACTTTGGACTAATTGTGCCAGGTTTAGTTGAGTGAATGGTTGAGAATGTTGGGCAAGCTCTGCCGTAATTCTCCTCGCCAAAGAAGTCAATATTTCTACAAACACCCATTTCAAAATAATAAAAAATATCACAAGCACAATTTCCCCCCAAAAATTCATTTCAAAATTCATTTCCCCCTTTCCGTGAACACCTGTTCCACAAACAACCCTTTCATAATCACCTTTTCCACATAACCCAGTTCACAATCAACCATTTCAGAAACAACTATTCCGCAGACACGCATTCCAAAACACATATTTCCTAAATGTTATTAAATTTTTTGCCCTAACAGGGGTGATTGTTGAACCCACATCTGAGGGCGACATCGCTGCCCTGCCCGCGTCTCCCCACATCTTCCTTCTGGCGAAGTCGGTTGCTGAAAATCAGCAAGAGAGTTTGACTCGCACCTTACTTGGCATGGCTCCTGCTGACAACAGGTGGTGGTTCCTTACCTTGCTTCATGATGATCAGTAATGTCCCTTTTGTGGTCCTGAGGGTCCAAAGAAATCCTTAAGAAATGTGTTTTAAGACCTGATCTAATGTAATGATCAACCCATGTCAGGTTGCGGAGGCTGGAGGTGCGTGACTGCGCGTTGACTGAAATGCAGCTTTTGGAGGCGGTAGCTGTGATACAAAGCAAGGGCCTCAGGACGCTCTTCCGGGACAATGAAGTCCATGCGGGACCCAGCCGAGTGCTGACAATGCGGTAAATGAACTGATTTTTTACGTCACACTGCGCCAAAATTATTTTGCTCGACTATAAAAGAATTATTTTACTTGAAAATCTGTGCTGTTGAGTCGAAATAGAGGAATAAAACCATTGTGCTTCTTCACTTGTTTCCCGACAATTTTATTTTGCATAATTAGCGTCCGCAACTGACGGAGGTGCATGTGAGCCAACCAATCAGAACGCTGCAATGAAAAGCCACTTGGACATCACTGATGTTCTGAGTGGTCCAAGCAGGAGCCTGCGATTCATACCCAACTGACATGCTTATGAAAATTTAGGAACGCAGTGGCCCATCGTGGCAACGTGGTTCACATTGTGCAGTGCTTGTGCTCCTTCCTGATTTCTGGATTAGCTTTACCGAACCGTAAGTGGTGTCATTAGGGATTGGTGACTTTATTCTTCTTTTGTTTCTATCTCTACCAGTCTACTGTATATTTGACCGCCTCATCACTAAACGCTTGTGCGTTCGCTCTCTCACTTCCCTCCATCCCTATGCTCCCGCCAGCGGGGCGCCCCCGCCGCGAACCCGACGGGCTCGTCCCAGAGGTCAAGGGGCTCCCTTCCTAACCCACGACCCAGACTACTCTCATACTCATCTCGCCACCCACCTTCGTCCTCATCAGCCCTCATTCCGCCCCCTCAAACACCAACTGAACGCTCGAGACCTCAAACCTACCGTATCCAGCTCAGGAGAATTGACCTCGACTGACAGCAGACAGACAAAAAATCTTCCACGCAACATTCAAGGAACTCGACTCGCCTCTCATCCGACTGACGGACGCAATCAACGGTTTCTACGCGGTACGGATGACGCTTCCGCCACTGACAAATTGACTTCCCGTAAAACCACTGAACTATTCAAAAGAATCAACCTGACGCCCGTTATACCACCGGACCTTCGCGCTAAAAGAACTATTTTCCTAAGACAACTGGACAGGGACGTTGGTAGCCACACCGTCAACGAACTAAAACAAGAAATTACTTCATGGCTTCAAATCCAAGAAATTGTCAAAATAAAACACTACACCCACGTAATAAAAATCATCACAACAGATACCACATGGCACAAAGAGTTCTCACCGATGGCTTCTATCTATACAATACAAAAATCACCCGCTCACAGTGCGAGCATGAACTCCACATCTGCTATTAGTGCTAAAAAATAGAGGATCACCACACCCACCAATGCACTACAACCACGCCATCTTGTTCCGAATGTGCAGCTAAGGACCATATATATACTCAATGTACCAACCCATTCAAAAAATGTCTAAACTGCCAAAGCGACCACCGCACACTCGCCGCAAATTGCCCATACCGTAAACAAGTCACCCTGATGAAACAACAAACACAGCAGGAAAAAAAATTCAGCAAAAAAACAACCAAATATACGTTGATATGGCGAAACAGGCTATCAACAAACAAATACCCCGCGGCACAACTTAACTCTCACAAATTCGACGCAAGTAAACTTACTGCACTAGTCCTGGACTGGAGACATTGCCAGTCGGATGAATACTATCATAAGGATTCGGATGAATACTATCATAATCTCTAAAAGATAGTTACAACATAGACGCAGCATTTCTGGACCGCGACTCAGCAAAAATTTTTAATTTTTATCTACACGCCCACTATCAATGCCACCGATGCTGACTTCGACTTTAGCTCAGAATACATCGATGACGACGACGCATGACAACGTACTCTAAATCTGTCCCGCCCACCAACTGACGGCGGTATCCGCCGAGACAGGGCAGTCAACCAAGGCTTCCACTTCCGCCTTCCAGTGACCTCGACCTACGGAAAAGGAAACGTAGCAATGACCAATTTGACAAGACTCATTCATTTCGGTATCGGGACATATCTAACCCATACCTATAAAGCAATTCAGAAGCACAAAAGATACCTGCGAAGTTCCACTGGAACTGAGCAATAACTGGTGCACTGACGAGCTACGGAAAAAAGAATACGGACTAAAGATTTCAGTGAGGGACGATGAAAATAGTAGATTTGATGAGACAAGTCAAACTCAGGTTCAACCAAGCCACCATCATCTTAATTCCAAATGACTTATTCAACAACATGGACCGAATGACTACAATTACAACAACCACCTCCAAAAAACTAAAGCATTAACCTCTAAACCTCCCCTCCAAACATGACAATACAATAACATCGACCCAGACATCATCCTCAACGATCACTCACTCATCAACAACAGCCTCTGAAGATTTTTAATTATCACACATACACCTGCAACAAAGAAAACGAACCTCATGCCGGTGCCGCCATTTCAATCAAAAACCACATTCCGTACAAATTTAATGACAACTTTCATACCGATATGCTCGCCATTACTATAGTCATCCAACAGGGCTCTATTACAATAAGAACCGCCTACATTCCTCCACGCATTGGCTACATCAACTACATCGACTTTCATACTCTCCTTTAACACCTTAAACAGACTTCACCAGAAGGCCCTATTCGCAGACTTAAAGGCCAGTCACCCATCGCTAGGGAACGCAAATGCCAATCTCTCAGAAAAACAGCTGCACTCTCTTATAGCACAGGGAAAAATCACCCACATAGGCCTCTATTTTCTCACTCTCATGCATCACCCATAGAAGCACTACGTCGCCAGATCGAGTTCTCCAAAATAACAGCCTTCCACAATATTCACCTACAACCCGGGCCAATCACCCTCTCAGATCATATTCCAATCATCGGCACCATCTCTGCCAATCCAATACAGATCCCAATCCGACAGCGTAAATCATTCTTCAGAGCCAACTGGACACAATGCAAAGAGCTTCTCTCGCACCATCCAGTACCCTCTATGCCTGACCCTACACTCGAGGAAATAGACTGCTACCTCGACAACTGGACGAAACTAATTCAAAACGCAACAGACAAAGCCGTCCCCAGCATCACACAACTCGTCATCCCCGTTATAAACCAACACACGAAACTCTTCTAATGGAGACACAGTACCAAGCTACCTTGCAACACATATCAACTCGTAGACCATCGATAGCTCTCAATCGCCAACTCATTGCTCTGCGCACACAACTTCAAACCGCTTACCAACGCCTCCACACAACAACATGGCAGGAACTCATCACAACACTCAAGCTCCAGCAAGACCCTAAACAATTCTGGAAGTCTATTAAATTGATGTTTGGCAAGCACGAAACAGTCAGCCCAATACCTCAAATACGAAAACACTCAACAAGACACGCCCCAAGAGAAAGAACCCATATTTAGGCAACACTGACAAAACATATTTATCAAGACCGACAACGACGACTTCAACACTGAACACATCAATATCATAAAAGAGCACATGAACATAAGTCAACACACAACACCATACCACACAGGAGACCTCACTAGATTACACCCTCTAAATTTTCCACCCATCACTGCTAACGAACTCAAACAATCACTTCGCACCTTCAAACAAAAAGCACCTGGCCACACTGGATAACCTACCTGCACCTCAAGAATCTCCCTCGGAACATTATCCAATACCTTCTTTATATTTTCAATCAGTGTATTTCCACCGGTCACTTTCCGAATTTACTCATACATGCAGTAATGATATTCATCCCCAAACCAAATACATCACAACACCAAGTCAAGAACTACTGACCAATCACCCTTTTTGACATTCGCGGCAATTTACTAGACAAAATACTGAACAGACTCTACAGCCACCTCCAGACACACAACATACTAAACCCGAGATAAAACGGGTTCCGGAAATGCAGAGGCACACACACCGCACTAGCTACACTATACACGAGACCCTCGCCAACATTCCGCACAAAAGCACAAAATAGACCTGGTCCTAAGAGACGTATTCAACGCTTTTGACCGTGTATGTCACACCGGCCTAACCTTCAAAATCTCCCAACTCAATTTGCACCCTTCATTCGCAAGAACATTGATTGATTTCATCACAGACAGAAGAGCATCTATTAGGATAGGGGCATACCTGCCCCCCCCCTTTGCCTTGCAAACGGGAGTCTCCAGGGTGCTTGCCTTTCACCCACGCTAGATAGCTTTTACGCACACGATATACCACCACCAAAACCAATCACCGACTATATTGCCTTTGCAGACGACATCACCCAAATCACGACAGTAAGATACACCTATCAATACGCAGTTCATCAAACTAAACACGCTATAAAACAAATCAACGCATTTGGAAATAGCGAAGTGGAAAATAGCGACCAAGACAATCAAATTCAAAATTATCCCAATCAGCCGCGAAAGCACATCTGACATCTTCATGGACGGCAAGCATTTAACATACGCAAATAAATGCACAGTTCTGCGTTCACAAATGACAACTCACGGCTACAACGCACAAACTACTTCGCGTAAAAATATAGCCCGAAACCTACAAAAACTCTACAGATTCGTGAACCTTCCTCCCCGCCTAAAATATCGACTATATATTGCCTATGTCCGGTCATCATTAATTTACCCACCATACCGCTACACACTCTATCCCGATCGGCGATATCCAAGTTAAAAAGAGTGCAAAACCGAGCCCTCAGATTCATAACCAACACCCACTTCTATGATTTCATCGCCTCTCAATCTCTCCACGAACGATGCAATATACCCATGATTAACACAGTTCTTCATGAACACGCCCGCTACATCTGGCGCAAAATGGAAATTTACGAACCCGAACTTTGCAACCAACTCGCCTTTCCACAGAACATCATTCATATACTAACATCAACGGTTCAAAAGTTCCAAGATGCTGGCATTGGGCCCAACACCACCCCATCTACAAATGGTAGTGATGCATCAAATAACCCACACCACCCACACATGGACCATTTGCACCTGGACGCTCTTTCTGAGCGTCCGGGGGCCGAGGCTGAACAGCGATGCTAACACTCACGACGCACACACTCACCTTCATAACCACTTTCACGGCGGGACTTGCTGCGCTCGTGCGGAGTTACTCACATCAGGTCCGGTGCGGCTGTCCCGGAATGATCACTGACTGACGTTCAGACCGAGAGCGACGCACGACATGACACTGGACCAACTCTAGCAGCCCATAAACACCCGCTGTATCCTAAGCGTTCCACCACCCACCATCTTCATTTTAATCAATATTATCAACAAATGAAGTAAAGAAACAAGAGTAATAAGCTAACGACCGTAACAAGAGAGCGAAGCTCACAACATATTGAGCACATATTACGTCATTGCCCATTGAGTATAGTATCCTGAATACATCATCAGTAAATATTGAACCACAATTAACCCCACATTACACCACACAACTAACCAAAGCCCTGACAGGTTCCCCCCGACCCCCTCTCCCCAATTCCTAATCAAACCCCTAAAATCTATAACCAAACCAATTATGAGCAATGCGCCTTTTTTCATCTCCTACTGTATTTTCCATTTCCCCCTTCTTCTTTCTGGCCACTCTGCGCCACCTCTTGTTCTCTTCCACTCTTACCTAGTGACACCGCAACAACAACAAGGAACGCAGTCTGAATAAATCGTTGTGCCAAAATAATATCGAGCCGAGACGAAAAGCAGAGTTCAGTATCTCGACCAATAAGGCGGGAAAGTTTACATTAACTTCTGATATTTTGTACTTGAAATGATACACGTAGCTCCACGGACTTGAAGTGATTAGGTTCAATTCAGGAGTAATTCTCACACTAGCTTCGGTGCTGCGGTAAAAATAGGACATATCTGATGATAAGTTCTGTTAAGGTAGCTTATAGGACATAAGGGGTTCCAATCATAAAAATATGTTTCCCATCTTATTTATTCCCTATTTAATACACGACAAAAAAATGAAACATTTTCTGCTCTCTGACAGAGAGAAGAATTACGCGCTGATTCTCACTGATGAACCGCCGCTGCCACCACAGGCAGAACCCAGCAGGTTGGTACGACCAGACTGGGACCAGAATATTTATTTTATAGAAAAATAGTTTGAATGTAATTGGCTGAAAAATATAGGCTTAATTTAATTTGATTTCTTTTGAAATGTTGTGTTGCGAGTGCTTTGGGTTGGTAATATAGATAATAATTTGGTTGAATTAAACGAATTTCAAAATTGGAGTTAAAATAAATGTTGTTTTTTAGTGAATAACCATAGTTATTAACACTCTGCATTAATTTAATTTGAGGTAGTTCAATTAAAAGTCTATTGTCTTATTTGGGTGAATCTGAAAAAATATATAACTTTTGTTTCCAGCGATATTACAAGAATTAATGAATTTATAATGTCAATAGTTCTACAGTATAAATTTTAAAAATATTATATTGCAGGCGTGTCGCATCAGAACCTCCCATGTCACCCGCCAGTCTCCCCGTTGCCCCCGTCGTCGGTGGAGAGAACCTCTGTCCGCTGGCCTCGTCATGCGGGGACCTGGACGCCGTGTACAGGAGTCTGTACGCCCTGAACGTTGTGCTGCCGCACGCGCTGCGCTTTGTAATGGAGAAAGTGTGCAGAGACAAGCCTCCGGAGGTTACTTACTGGGATTATATTTTGGCAATGTACGAGCAGATGGACATTGCTGGAATCTATGTCATGCAAAGCGATATGCGTGTGATGGACCGTCTCAAAAAATATGATTGCGAGGAAATTGATATACGTCCATTCGATGCTCACCCACTAATCGAGTTTCTTCTTCTATTTATTATGGGCTGGTCAATGAAGTACAGTCCTGGAATTGTTGATCCTATTGTAGATGAAGACTACAAAAAAATTTTAAATCTCATGGAAGAAGTGAGGAGCCTTAGGATGAAAGTGATCACAAGAATGATGAAAGATCTTCCCGAACTCGTGGGACTGCCCGACAGGATCACTGAGATCGCATACGAGCTGATCAGCGAGGCCGCTGAGCTGCACCGCGTGCCGGACGCTGAGGCTGAGCGGGTGAAGGAAGCTTGCCAGGCACTCTGGAATAAATACTCTGATGTGCGCGTTGATGATGACGCTTTTGCTGCGTATTACGTACTGAAGGAAAACTGGGAGAGGAGAGTCGACCTGGAATTTGAAAAGTTATTTGATGAACGGTGTGTCAAAATCTACAAATCCCCATCAGATTGGAAGGGCGAACCCTTCAGTTGTGTTTATAGTTCAAGAGTTGATCGATATCAATTTGATGAATCATTGAAGGATGCAATTCATGGTAAGTTGCACGGCGTCTTCATCCACTTCAAGTGTCGCGATACAAAATCCCGCAGTTTTTCTGACGTCATCGAGGAAAACTTTCCTGAAGCCTGCAGCAAAATCGGAGCTCCCAACGTTGAATACGTTATGAAACGTCTACATCCTCTGATACTCGTCGACGGCTACGACGAAGCTAACGCCACGTCCAGCGTAGTCATAGAAGAAATGGTCTACAAATTTTGTAAATTTGTATGCAAGATCGTCATCACTACCGGTCCTGAGGCTGATTCTTCTCAACGAAATATCTCGGGAAGAAAAGGTGTCGATTGTGAGGAATCGCTAATTCTTTCTTTTGCGCTGAAATTGCGCGAATTTTTTAATGCCTTGGGATTCCTACGTTGAATCCTGCCGTAGTTTAATGTTTTCCCTGCAAGAATATCTTTCAACAAAACTTTTTTTGGTCAGATTTACATCTAGGATTTTGATAAAAGTTCCACAAAAACGGTCATGCCTTACAAATGGACATGAGACACGGATATAGTTGGTTTTTAATGTTCCTTTTTTTAGCGCAAGAAATACAAAGACGGGAGCTTGCATCATTTGTAGAGAAGGTAGCCTTCTTACTGTAACATGTTAGTTTTACTTCTGGGGTGAACCGTTCAGGAACAACTGTCAACTCGGGGTTGTAATTACGACAACAAACAGAGTTGCTTGCCACATTTCGGCGTTTTTCATTTTTTATCAAGGCATTTATTTCGTTGCAGCGTTCTCTATTTCATTTCAGTTATGTTTATTTTGTTTCAGTGCTGCAATTGTATATATTATCAATATGTCGGTCCTGTTCAAGATGTATAGAATAGAATAGAAGTGTCGGCGTTGAAGAAATAGGCCCATGGCCTGTTGCCGATTCTTGAACTCTTCGTGACTTGATTCACAAGGGATCCGGCCTTTGGAACCCGATCTTTCTATAGCTGACGATTGATTAATAATATCACTCGTTTGCTTGAATCGCAAATTCACTAAAAACTTAATAGCAAAGAAAACACCACAAAATTTCATAGTATATTTAAAGAAAACGTTTCGGAGTCCAGCTCCATCGTCAGTTCGAAAATTCTAGAACACAGATAAATCAGTGATTAGTACAGTCAAGAATACAACGAAAATCCTAAGCTGCAAAACCTACTGGAATCTAACAATAGCCTGTCCTTCCTCGATTGCAATATTACTAAATCTAATGGCTGTTTTCAAACTTCTGTATTCCGAAAATCGACTTTCACAGGCCTTAGTACCAGCTTTTTTAGCTTTTGCTCGTATCGATTTAAGATTAATGGGATTCAAACACTTTTACACCGAGGTTTTCGTATTTGTTCTACTTACAATATTCTGCATGCTGAATTCGAATTTTTACGCAATATATTTTCTCTTAATGGATTTCCGACTAATCTGGTGCTTACCCAAATAAAGAAATTCATGTCCAAGCGGTACCATGAGGTTGCTCCCGAGCGCGACAATAGGGATGTTGTTTATTGCTCTCTTCCATATTTCGGCCCTGCATCCGAAACTATGTCAAGAGAGCTAAAACTGTTATTTTCTAAGTATTTCGCAAATGTTAATCTTCGTGTCATATTGGTCAACCATTTTAAAATCGGTTCTTTTTTTAGGTACAAAGATACTCTCCCACTGCATATGCGAGCGTCCCTAGTTTATAAATATAGTTGTGCACGATGTGCATCTAAGTACGTCGGGATGACGTCTCGCAATCTTTATTCTAGGGTCGCAGAACATAGGGGCAGGAGTTGTAGAACTGGTAACTTACTGTCGCGCCCACCTCATTCGGCTGTGCGGGTTCACGCCGAGCAGTGCGATGTTCCAGTTTCTGACAGCGACTTCAAAGTTTTAGCTTCCAGTTCCGGTGTTTCTGATTTGCGCATTTTAGAATCATTGTATATTTTTAAACAGAGGCCTTGTTTGAATTTAGCTTTTAGCTCTTACCCGCTTGAAATTGTAAATAGGTAGGTTTTGCAGCTTAGGATTTTCGTTGTATTCTTGACTGTACTAATCACTGATTTATCTGTGTTCTAGAATTTTCGAACTGACGATGGAGCTGGACTCCGAAACGTTTTCTTTAAAGATACTATGAAATTTTGTGGTGTTTTCTTTGCTATTAAGTTTTTAGTGACGATTGATTGAGATAGCTGCTGGACTTATTGCCTGATCCGTAATTTGCTAGGCATTTTAAGACTGAACATATGCTCCTGCATAGCTTCGTCTAGTCTGTTTTTGAAGATGTTCATACTCGGAGCTTCAACGATGCTATCAGGGAGGCTGTTCCACATGTCGGTGACTCGAAGCGAGAAGAAATGTTGTCGCATGGATGTGTTCCAAAGCTGTTTTTTTAGCTTATAGCCGTGGCCTCTGGTGTTGGTTCTTGTTTCAAATTCTAGTAATCCTTCTGGGACCTTGTATAAGCCATGAGTATACTTGTATACTTCAATGAGGTCCCCACGCAGACGTCGATAATGGAGGCTTGGAAGCTTCACAATCTTTAATCTTTCCTCATAGAACTTGCCTTTCAAGCCCGGAACTATCCTTGTTGCGCGTCTTTGAACACTCTCTACTAAATTTTGTCCTTTTCAAATTTCGGTGACCACACGACGTTTCCAAACTCCAGGTTCGGGCGCACGACAGCAACAAACAACTGCTTCATCGTTTCTAAATCTAAGAACTCTATGAGCGTCTGATTAGTCCAAGAAGTTTGTTGGATGTGTTAGCTTGCGTTTCAACATGTTTAGAAAATTTCAGCTCATTGTCGATATTAACTCCTAAATCCTTTTCCGTTGTCGACTTCGACATCATCACTCTGTCGTTGCAACCGTGTCTTTTCATACTGTAATCTTGCTGTTCATTATTCTTGCCAAGGTGGATAACTTTACATTTGTCAGCGTTAAAACGCAGCTGCCACTTCACTGCATCTACTGGCTCCCTTTCGTCCAGCAGGCGGGTCCATTCGTTCAGAGTCGACAAGAGGTTAGTGGTGCAGGATCTCCCGGCAATAAAGCCATGTTGACAGTCTGATAGGAGATTATTAGCCGTCAAATGATCTATCAATCGATCGTATAAAGAAAAGCTGATGTAAGACGTATACTCTTTATCAAGCCTTTCAGCGCTGGTGTATTCTAGTTTTATTATACTTCCTAATTTTACAATATTATCGCACCAGGTGTAGGTTAATTTGTACCTATTCGGTCCGACAAGAGTTAAAGGTTAAAGATGAAATTGCACAGCACTCAGGGCGTCTTACAAGCGCCATCTATCATGCACGAGTTCCAAGTGCCAGACTTCGAAGTTTATTATCAACACATGCGTGTGTATCTAACAGTTTTGCTGTACTGTATTCTAGTTAAGAAATACACAGCTTGTTTATAATGCAGTTAAAAACTGCCTTGAATTTTAGTTGAAAACTGCCTAAATTGACTGTATTGTTGTTTAAACTTTAAATTCTATTTAATGCAGTTAAAAACTGCCGCAATTCGCTCTAATGTTATTACAAGAGTAAATCCGCTATTGTATAGTTAAAATAGCTTCGAAGGACTATAATATCGTTAAGGGGAGCGTCTAGGTCCAAAGGTCGAAATTTTGGCTTTTCCGGTTTTTAGGCTTATCTTAAAGCTTGCTTTCTGACGCATCGAACGGTACTAGAACCATCTCTGTACGTTGATTTATGCGTTCACGACAGATCCCGTAAGGGGGGAAGGGGGTGGGGGGCCTTCAGTAATTCCAAAGGGGGAAATTAACTATAAAATGTGCTCTTCACTGGGCTAGAGCTCAGTAACCTCACAGATAGCACACGGGATGGTGTTCATTTAGTGGCTCCATGCACCGATGACTGACTTTGAAGTGAGTTGACGCTTACTTTTGGTATCTAGGCTACGTTACGTGCCTTTACGTGCCGCGCGGCGGTTTTTTTGCCTCTACTGAAAAGTTGCCAAAGCTGAAAACCTCTCCCACGGCAATCCTATCTCCTCCTACAGTTTTAAAGCGTCATCAATGAGAAATATATCATTCGATTTGGAAAGGAAAGATCTACTAACGTCACTAGGTCGTTTTTTCAATTTCGTTATAGTTCAGATTTTATTTTGCAAAAAGTGGGGAAGGGCGGGGGTAAAATCGAAAAATATCGGAAAAAATGCTCCCACACCCACGAAAATGAGAAATCCTAAAAACCGCCAAGCGACGTTTTTAGATATGGTCTTTTCGCATTGAACGATATGTGTCTCGATGTTGTAGCTTGAAAATCCTAGGAGGAGATAGGATTTCTAAAGTACCCCCTTTTTGGCCGTTTTCTAAGAATTTCACGTTTTCTTTCATTTTTTTCAAAAAATTCACACGGAAAAAACTTAGAATTCCGTTTTACATACGTGTACCGAATTTCGCATCGATCCGTCTGTAAATAGCCGAGATAAAGTTGTCCCTAGACGCTCCCCTTCAAACTCTATAAACTTATTAGAATTGTGTTAACAACTACCTTGATTCACAACAATTCAACAAAGACTTTAAATTATTAGTTATAATTCAGTGGAGGAGTTATAATTCTACCAAAATGGAGGACTAAGGTTGGATTTTGTTTTACGTTTAAATGCTATTCACATACTCGCCTATTAGTGCATGTTGGTTTACACTCTTCTTTTATGGCTCTGCTTCGTTCACGATTATCTGGCTTTGCAACTCTCTTCTCTTTTTCTACAGTTTTTATGCATATTTAATCGCCCGAATCTTTATTTTTGCTTCATTCAGAAGAACATGTCTGAATCTTTCTTATGCTAGGTATTATGTAAGTTACTGAACAGTAGGAGCGACGTTAACCTAATGTATATCACGTATTTTTTCAACTTTATAATAAACGAGTTGACATTCCATCTTATTATCACTCAATCCCTTTATTCATTTCCCATGTAGCTGCTCTGAATATTTCAAACCCGCAAATTTTAAAATCCAAAAACGAACCTACATACTCTTAGCTGTTAGTTACTTAATTTAACTCAGTCACTGCTTTTCAAGAGAAAACATTTTTTCAAATAATGCAGTTGTGCCATATGTTAAGGATATACACGCTGACTCGTTGGTATTGAAGTCTTATTGGATCGGCAGCCTGTTTGTGCCAGGCAGGTTTCCTGCAACTCTCAAGCAGAGCTTTTATTGGTCGCACTACGCGTTATGTTTGATAAAATTCGAGTGATTGTAAGAATATGAAGATATGCTTCGACGCTCACCGGTGGACAGTCATTACTCCCAGTGATGTTCGCTTACCAGCATACTAACAGCAGGCTTAACTCATTATTTGAAATACATAACGCGAGTGGTTAGAACGGCACCACTTACACGCGTGTTATGTGCGTTACGTTACGCGAGTGGCAAGAAAGCGCTTTAAGATATTAGGGCATCAGAGCTCGGCTAGACATAGAATGGATCAGATTTATATGGCATATCAGCGGCTGGGGAGAGATTTGAGGAAATGCAATTTTTCTCCATGCGGTCAAAAAAGTCCGACGCGACGATGTTCTGCGCGCTGTAAAGTCCTGAGATTGAGAGAACCCGTACAACGTTTCGTGTGCTAGGTTCTGAACCGTACAGCCGTTTCGTGTGCTAGGTTCTGAACCGTACAACCGTTTCGTGTACTAGGTTCTAAACCGTAGAACCGTTTCGTGTGCTAGGTTCTAAACCGTACAACCGTTTAGTGTGCTAGGTTCTAAACCGTAGAACCGTTTCGTGTGCTAGGTTCTAAACCGTATAACTGAACCGTTTCGTGTGCTAGGTTCTAAACCGTACAACCGTTTAGTGTGCTAGGTTCTAAACCGTAGAACCGTTTCGTGTGCTAGGTTCTAAACCGTATAACTGCTTCGTGTGCTAGGTTCTAAACTGTATAACAACCATTTCGTGTGCTAGGTTCTTGAAGTATTTTGATGCCCTCGAAGCAATGGATCAAAATATGGACATTCGCCAACTGATTTAGGCCACGAAAAAGATATAAAAGATCATTCTAAAAATTATTTTGTTATTTCGAACGTCGCTTATTGTACTTATTTTTGAACGTCGCTATTGTAGTGTGAAACTACCTGGAAAATCGATAAACCTGCTCCAATAACATCTAGTTGAAGAATTTTTGATAAAATCTTCATAGATTTTACCAATTTTTCACTATTATGCCTTTTTAAAAAAAAGTTGGAGCAAATTTCATTTTACCCAGATCAAAATAACAGAATGTTAGTCGCAAAATATTATAGAAAAGTAATGCCCAAATTAAATGCAAACATTAAAGATAAACAAAAATACTGCACATAACGCTGGCTTACGTTATGGTCCGCCGCAGCTATGAAGGCTATTGCCAACCTCCCGATTTCTGCGGCCAGTCTGCAGTAAAGTCTTTCAACTACACCTCGAGTTAACAGACTATTCGAATGACAAACTAAATATCCTGATTATGATTTCTCCGTGGCTCTTCATTTCGTCTGCAAATATTAGAACATATCATTTACCGTAGTGATGCAACAGTAGGCTAAACATCAATCAATATTAAGCTCCTGGATGTTATATCTAAGGGATTATATATGAAAAGAATTTTACTTTCGATTGATCATAAAATCAAGGAAGTTTTAATCGCTAAACTCAGTAGGTATCCATGCTACCAGTTAGGGTATGGAGAGGAGGAATGAAACCTTGTCGAGCCTGTAATATAGACTGTCTGTCATTAAACCTTTCGCTTATTGTGAACATTGCAGAATATTCACAGCTTGTTGCGTTCTGGAACACGCAACTTACTGCTCCAATCTTACCGTGCTTGACCACCCGACCACTTCGCCGTGTTGGGCCGAAACTAAAGCAGGTAGCAGGGATCGAACCTACAACTCACTGCACTCCAATTTCGGGACTCTGAACTGTAACCAGTAGGCCACCCAACCGCAAGGAAAATAACGTGAATCAGCTGCTTAACATGATGATCCTCAAAAACTCGTATCAATCAATCAGCTTGATCTTATCAATTCATCCAAGCGGCTCCTTCTTCCAACAGAGTAACAGGTGCGCTCGCATGATCGTGACTTGCTGACGCTCGCCGCTGTAATCGAGACTGTTCTGCAATTATGCACGTCGATTATTTATGAAAGGTTTCGATTTTCAAGTGTCATAAATTTTTATTAACATAAGAAGCTTCATATATGAATTCAGCCCTTGAAACTTTTTGAAGCAGAACAGAAACCTCGCTCCGCCGAGCCAACCGCTAAGCCCCGACTGATCGAGAATTATTCCCGCTGGAGCCTCCACAGCCGGTCTGGGGTGTGGTCAAACAAAATTTAAATCCCATTATGTTTATTGAATGAATGTAAACAATAATGAATGCGCAACTACAAAAGTAAAATAAATCTTCTGATGCACATGTTCAGTGATGATGCACATGTTCAGTGATGCTACTGATAAAATGTGGAGATCACAATTATTGGTCAATAATGAAGTCTCCATTCAAGGAAATGAAAGAGGAAATATCGACAGTCGTTGGTGCGAACAAGGCCTTTTGTTTAAAATTTGAAACAAGCATATTCCTCAACGTCACAACTTTGCAGTATGGAGGAGCCCCTCATACACATGAACTTTCATGCCAAACAAACCAGGCAAATGCATTATATAATATACAATGCCTTATCAACTTTGGGCATGAAATCTAAAGATAACCCAGGCCACAAATGACGTCAATTGTAAGTAAAAGTTTAGTTCCTATCATGGATTCACTCATATTCATTGAAATAAAAGGCAAATTGTAGGAGCTTATTAGAAATGATGGAAGAACTTTCAATGTAGCCATTGATGGCTATTTCCCGATGTCACCAATTTCTCTCAAAGAAACAGTTTTTGTTTTGAGTGACATCGGCATTTCCTGTTAACACTTGTGAGTGAAAGAGCACAAATAAAGGATCTCATGTGTAATAACACACTAGTTGGCCGACGGCGGTAACCTGATGTCGGGAACCTGCAGGAAAGGCTCTTTATACAACACAGCCTTGCACCCAACAGCTCGAGTTCCACTGTCACTGCCCCGCAGTCTTCCAGCGCCCTTATGATAACTATAAAAAATATGGTTACTGATATACCTCAAGAGCGGCATTCAGGCCTCAACAAGCAAGTGGCGCCGGCTCTCTCTTTCGTTTCAACGCCGCCCAAAACAACTGCCGCCTACGAAGGACAACGAGAAGCTGACACCCTCTTCCTTGGCGGCAGTGGGCACCTCAGGTTCAGTTATCAATCTACTAAGCCTGACGCTTGTGTCCCAGAGGTAATGACGCATTCGCTTCCTCTATATTGCTCCCGTTGTATTGATCCACATAAGTCTTCACACATGCATATTCTAAGGTTTTCTGATGGGCGCCGGGTGAGTGAATGCTGTTTACACATGCGTTTTTATATTCAATTGTGCTTATTTACTTGATATTAGGGTGTTTTTACAGTCGAATTGTTTATAAGAGACTGACTTTCAAATTTCTCTTTCATGGTGCTAGCATAATTACACTAATGGCACTGAATAGGTTTTTCTGTAGAATACTTTCTAAGAAAATGTCTTTTCAAATCACTTTTTGTGGTGCCAGCATAATCACACACACTGAGCACTGAATAGGTTATTATTTTGAATGCTTTCCAAGAAAATGTATTTTCAAGTCGCCTTTCGTGGTGCAAGCATAATCACACTCAGAGCACTGAATAGGTTTTTCTGTTGAATGCTTTGTCAGCGTCGCCAGCAGCGTCTCCTGATGCTGATGCTGACAGCTGCTTGGAGCTGGACGCCCCAGTGACGTCAGCGTCGCCAGCAGCGTCTCCTGGTGCTGGTGCTGACACACCAGCACTGCACTAATTATACAAATAAGTAATAAAATTTATTGAAATACTCTATACTCTTTAAAATAGCGTACATAAACTCTCTACTAATAAACTATATTCTATATTTATAACAGTCAGATTAAACATTGACTTTCAAATCTTACTCAAACAAAATATGTTATTTATATCAACAGATCTTGAAAATTTTTGCTAATATCTATACAAATTGACTTGTACTGAGTTGGTTCTGGTTCATGCAAAGATAACTGAGAATAATTAATTTGTTTTAGCAAATACATGAGTTACCATTAGCTGGCCTTAACTATGGCCATCAAATTTGCCTCTGCAAATTGAAGCATGGATAAAATCATGTTGAAAATTTTTTCCCATTTAAAGTTACAAACATTGATTTTTAGGTTTGAAAGCTGATTGATAGAGCTACAGTTTTGCCACAGTTTTAAAAGATTCATTTTAACATGATAAACTTACATTTTCACACAGACAAATAATATTTTCAGAATCACTGAGATGAACATAAATAGTAACATTTATAATAAATTTTACCGCTGAAATGTGGATGCCTTAATTATTAAGCAGACCATGGATAGCTTCCACATGTAAGAATTCATTGCTTCAAAGCAATGAAGGCTGTATTGCTCCTCCACGCACAACACGAGGCTGTATTGCTCCATAATCAACACAGCCCATTCTTTGCGGTGTTGATTACCAATTACATCCTTTCTTTAATGTGGTCCCAGATACATGAGGTGAACGAGAATGTTATCTTAATTCAACAGACTCAACACAGATTTCCTTATTTTTTTACTCTGCCTAGATGATTTGATCTGCGATTTTATCAATAACTGTGAGAAATCAAAAGTATTTCTAATTATTTTTAAGGATTGGAAATCATCACATTTTACTTGCACAATTTACCTTAAGGAGGAACACAGCATGTATTTCACGTACTATCATTAGTAACTTCTTAACCACTTATTTTATCCCCTAATAGAGAATATAAGATTGCTTGGATTGATTGGAAAATAATGAAAATTTTGAAATAGAATGAGAAATTAAGCAATCCAAAGAAATAATTGGTTTCCAACTCCCCAAAAATTTTTTGCATAGGCTAGTTAATAGACAGCAAATATTATATACCTGATTCATAAACAGGGTAGAAGTGTGTGGTGGTGAGATTTGGTGGGCATTGGGAGCCTCAACCAGAGCTTCCGTCTTGCATGGCACACAAGATGAGGGTGCAGGTGGGGGGCTGAGATGCTCAGCTGAACAAGCCTGGAGCAGAAGAAAAGGGGAGGACAATGTTGATGAGTCTTGCAGTGATGCATAATATTTGAAAGAAATTATATTCAGTTGTCATAAGGATTTTTTTCTATTCATTTTCTCTTTCATTTCTCAGATGCTCATGTTCACCTCCTTTGATTTTGATTTATATTATGATGAAGTAACAATTTCAGTGATATCCTACCTACCTACAAATTATGGTTCAGAAAACCTAAGAAAAATATTCCATATGAGATTGAAAAGTGAAGTATCATCATTCAAAATTTTTCATGAAAATATTTGCAGGCATATCATATGCTTGCAAGGCATTCATTACCTCATCTCCATACAGGAATGGTTCCTCCTTCACAGTTACGTCCTCAGCCTCATCTCCAGGCTCCTCTTTTATATTGATTGCAGGAGCAACCATTTCTATGGCTGAAAAATAGGTTGTTAAGTGACAAGTCTTCACATAGTGTAATTAATTTCCCCAAGTTAACAGATCTTCTGAATTTGAGGCAAAAAATTGGAGATTAACTCAGATATGTGGTGGTGGAAATTTATTAGAGATATATTCCAACACAAATAGACCAAACCTTATAGGGTAACATCTCATAAACTACAAACAAATGTTAAAAAATATGAGCAGAAATACGTAGAACAATTGACAATCCAATTCTGCATAGTGATGTCAAGAGTAGGCCATTTAAATTGACTTACCTTCAGACTTGACTTCGACAGTACCAGGAGACACTCCAGTGAGGCTCTGCTCAGGACATCTGCCCCTGCTGACTGCAGCATCAGAGAGTTGGTGCAGCCCAACACAGCATTTTTTGGTAATGCTTGCCATCGCCACATGTGGTGATCAATGTTTACAGCAGTTGATGTTCTAAATCTATCAAGTTATGTGACAAGGTAATAATACTGGAGGGAATATTTAGAAAAGGGATAGAGGCTCAAAACCTAGATAATAATTTCAACAATTGCATCAAAATTCGAATGGAATTTTTTGCTTGTTGCATTGAAGATCTGTGGAGGACGAAAATACACCTATGAAATTGGATGATTCAACAAATGTCACTGTATATCGATTAAATTTAACAAGCAATAAGTTAAGTAGATTCTGTCTTGAATATATGAGCACAAAAAAAATTAGAACGTTCTAAGTCAAGTCAACAGACTAATATTTGGCTAATTTGATCTCACCAACAATTAGTATAATATTTGTCAAAAATTTGCATTCCATTTGGCCAAGATTTGCCCAAAAGGTCTCCAAATCATCATGAGATTCATCCAAACTTCAGTAAACTTTATGTGAACTTGTCCACTATGTCCAAAATTTATAAAAACGTTGTCTAAGTTTATATATACCAATTTAAAAATCAAATTTAAAGTATTGATCTAATCTGCCCCTTGCAATTTCACAATACTTTGTTTTCCTATTTCAAGTCCAGCTAATATTCCAAAGGCAGGTATTGAAGATATGAGTTGAATAGCCCCTATACATTTCAATGCCAGGCTAAAGGAAAACAATCACACAAACTTTAGCAAATATATAGAAAAAAAAAACAGAATTTATATTTTAAGACAAATCAAGGAAGATGAAACAATTACTAAAAATTATTTTATACAAATTTCCCAATACAAGAATTGGAAAGAATTTCTATCGCAAGTTACTATTTATTGTTAAGTAAGACAGGAGCGGATGAGGGTTAAATGAATCAATCCCAAGTGCATGAAAACAACTGTGGTGCAATGGTATGAACACCTCAGATAGAACTGCAGTCTGAAAGAAATTATGTTTTAATATTTTAAATAAATGTTAGCAATTAAATTATCTGCTACCTATATTTTACACATTCCTACATATTTAAATTTTATTTATTCTTACCTAAAGAGGAATATTTATTTAACTAAGGCTCCTTTGTATTTCCATCTGAATTATATTATGGACTTTACAACTTCAATTTATGCCTTAATATTTTGTAAGTCATGGCCAAAATTAATAAGGATTATACATATGTTTAGGATTTCCTTGGTGTGAAAAATTTTTTATGACAAAACTATTTTTGAAACAATTGAAATCTTCCTCAATTCTTTGTTCAAAGATGTAAATGACTTGGACAGTAACTTTCATTATTAGTTTAAGCTGTAAATTTCTAAATCTCTTCTTGAATTCTAAGTTTTAAACAAATTTTCCATATTTGGCATCAAGTTTTTCCAACAAATTGTTTGGGCATGGGTCTTCTTTTGGTTCTTTGGTTCTGCTTCTGCAAATATTTGCATGTGATCTCACACAGTTGCTCAGCTGGCCAATTGTCCACTTTATTTAAAGCCAATATTCTATCTAACTGATACATTAATGGCACCATTCCAATTTTTAACCATCTCCCTCATAAAAACTTTAATTTCAATTTTCTATTCCATCCAATTCACCATAAAGCTTGAATCTCAGAGTAGTTTGTCATTTCTTGACTGCAATGTTAATCTACCTATTAACAATTTTAAGACTTTCGATTACTTTCTGTTAGCAATACTTATCTATGTTTATCAGTTAAAGCACCAACTTATTTAGCTTTAGCACCATTTGATTCTAGTTGGATGAAATTTATACAATATTATGCAGTGACTTTCCAACTTGATATACATTTCATGTTTGGCAATATTTTTATTGCTAAATGAGTTTTGGTCACACCTGGATTTAATTAAATCACAAAATCATTACAGCTAAAGCTATACAATGAGATTTTTCCATGTATGCTAATAGAAATTTTATGTACTAAAAATATTTATTGAAATACATATCAAATATTGATCTTCAGATTTTGTTGGTGAATAATTTTCAAATTTGTTCACCAAATAGATGTAAAGATATTCCTACTGTGCATTAGTGCATTACTGATCACTTCTAGTTCAAAAATACTATTGTGCAAAATGTGCATCAGCATTCACTGCTATGACAGTCCCTCCTCTTAGACAACACAAGACAAGAATCTTAGTCCCAATTGGGGATAAAAATTTGGAACATTTTTTAAATCTGGGACAATACTGAGATGAGATGTCCTAGAACAAAATATGAACTATAAAATGTCCTCAAATTTATATTTTTTAAGGGGGGGGGGTATACCATAAAATTTTTGGATTTAGCTTTCTCGGTTTTTAGTCTCATCTTGAAGCTGACATTCTGCCCTATCCAACGGTACCATTGCCATCTCTGTACGTTGATTTATGCTTTCACGACAGATCATTAAAGGGGGCGGGTGGGGGAGTTCTTTAACAAATTAGATAGGAGCTAATTTGCTGCCCAGCACTATAAATACAGTGTTTGCTTGAGGTGCAGCTCAGTAACCCGCCTAGCGTTGTATGAGGAGGTGCGCATGTAGTCACTCCCACCATCCTTGAGTGGAATGAAGCTCCTGAAACGTTTAGTTTCGTATCCCTGCTACTTTAAGTGCCTATTGTGATGCGCGTGGGACTTTATCACGCTCTGCTGAACATTCACGCTTATTGTCATGGCAAACCTATCTCCTCCTAGAGTTTTGAAGCTACAGCAATGAGACATATACCATTCCATTCGTAAAGATCATACTTATCGAGTTATCGAGTCCTTTTTTAGATTTGTGCATAGTATGGATTCAATATGGGGGGAGGGGGAAAAATTTGAAGAAAATGAGAAGAAAATGGAAAAATGCGTGTAAAAAAACTAAGGCAAAAATCAAAAAATGGGCTTGATAACTCGATAGGTATGGTCTTTACGCATCGAATGAATTTGCGTCTCAATGTTGTAGCTTGAAAACCCTAGGAGGAGATAGGTTTCTACAGTACCCCCTTTTTTGGCCGTTTTCTATGAATTTCACGTTTTGTAATAATTTTTCCAAAAAAAAAATCATTCGAACAAAATGTTCTTGTATTTTGGTTTTACATATATGTGTGAAGTTTCAGGAAGATCCATTAGTAAATGTGGAAGTTTTTCTGGAGGGTATACCCCCCTTAACAATTTCATCATTGCAAGCACTTTATTATGCAAAATGATACTCCTAATGTCCATCTTTTGAATGAGAGAAAACTTGAAGAGCCAGAGAAAGCCTGCTCATAGTCACCAATACAGCCAACTCTTAAGATTCATTTCAAAGTTTCCAGTTGTAATAGCCACTTAGTCTGCTTAATACTAACCACCACTAATTTTGGCATAAGTGGCCTCAAGTAGTAGGGTGGTGTTCAGAGGCTAACTGGCTAATAGCAAGTTGTGGTCATCAGCTCGTCACGTGGCAAAATAATGGGAGCTTAATTGACTCTGAATGAAGACAGCGTAGATTTAAATAAATAAACAATTAACATTTCACTTGTCTCTCACTTGTATAACTTTAATTGCTAAAAAAATCGATTAATCTTCTTTATTGGCAATTTCCGAAAACCCTTTCAAGAAAAAAGCTAAGTATAGCAAATTTTTATTCACTACTGAATAATACTAAAAATATCCTATTGACTGAAAACTAGTTGTTTATTTTCAACTAACAAACCTTGGGGGCATCATCCACACCCAATTGCTACCGTAAACCGGGGCTACTCGGACGATTTTAAATGTTTTTCATTCATAAATTCTTACCATGAAACATTTCATAAACAAGTTTATGCTCATTTCAAAGCTCTTTGCAAGGGCTATCGCATGGCTTCTCCAAAAAAATTCTATATGCTATTTGTAAGGTGCCAGAAGCAAAAAAAAGAGTGTCCCGAGTAGCCCCGTCGAACGGGGCTACTCGGGACACTTGGAATAAAACTTAATTTTAAAACATTTGAAGCATGCAGACTGCAGAGAGTACTCATCCATTACTAGCATTACTCTGAAGTCCTCCTCTTTCATTGTAGATGATGTAGAGGTAGAATAAATGAGATTTTCTGTGATTTTTACTTGTTTTTCCTTTATTGATATGATATTACAAATAATTTGTAATTTACAATATACATTAATTACCGTATTATTGATGCGATATTACCGTATCCTTGAACAGACCATTGAGCATTTCAACTACCTTGTCCACTGCAAGCTTCATATCAGCAGCCTTATAGCATTTTTTTGTATCTGTAAGCTTACAGGACGGCTTGTAATTTCAAACCATTTTAATTGGGTTAAGTGAATTTACTATAAAAAAAGATCATGAAAAACATACCTGAAACAGAAAGGAATGTTTTAGTGACAAGTATACTCATTTCTAGTATACTCATATACTCAAGTAGTATACTCATTTAGTATACAAGTATACTCATGGCTTATACAAGGTCCCAGAAGGATTACTAGAATTTGAAACAAGAACCAACACCAGGGGCCACGGCTATAAACTAAAAAAACAGCGTTGTAACACATCCATGTTACAACATTTCTTCTTGCTTTGAGTCACCGACATGTGGAACAGCCTCCCTGATAGCATCGTTGACGCTCCGAGTATGAACATCGTCAAAAACAGACTTGACAAAGCTATGCAGGAGCATATGTTCAGTCTTAAAATGCCAAGCAAATTACGGGCCAGGCAATAAGTCCAGCAGCTATCTCAATCAATCGTCAGCTATGGAAAGATCGGGTTTCAAAGGCCGGATCCCATGTGGATCAAGTCACAAAAAGTTCATGAATCGGCAACAGGCCATGGGCCTATTTCTTCAACGCCGACACTTCTATCATATGTTTTGGAGAAATAAATCCTGTCTCTTATACACATCTAGATGTGTATAAGAGACAGCATTAAAGTATACAAGTATACTCATGGCTTATACAAGGTCCCAGAAGGATTACTAGAATTTGAAACAAGAACCAACACCAGGGGCCACGGCTATAAACTAAAAAAACAGCGTTGTAACACATCCATGCGACAACATTTCTTCTTGCTTCGAGTCACCGACAAGTGGAACAGCCTCCCTGATAGCATCGTTGATGCTCCGAGTATGAACATCTTCAAAAACAGACTAGACAAAGCTATGCAGGAGCATATGTTCAGTCTTAAAATGCCT